TATCCATTAAAATCATACAAGGTCAGAATTTTGAAATAATTCAGTTCTGTAGTAAAACTGTTTTTATTTTTTGAAGAGTTTCAGGACCTATTGTTGTTTGCTATTTGTGTCTGATATTTTTATTCAGGAAATACAAATGATCATATTAGAGTTACTTTTAATAGATTTATTCTACCTGTGTGTCAGTTTTGTTTGTTATACTTTATTGATTTTTTTTCTTCGCCACACTTGTTTCCATAGACTTACAGCGTGGACTCAAAGAATGAGAATGAAGAGACGACAGAGGAGACTGAGGACAATCTGGATATGCTGGTGCCTCATGAAGTGCCAGTCAGTATTTATAGATAAACAGACAGACAGATATATTGACTGATTGATTTGATTTGTTCCCCCTATAAACTCCATACTGTAGTTTTGATTACAATTATGCTATTATACAATATGTAAATGGTAATAACGAGGAATGTCCAAATGTTTAGCAGTGTACAATCATACATACAGTACATGCAGATATATTTGGCATATGCATATATAATTAACTGAAGTGCACCAAGACCTCTATAGTACATTCATTTTGAAACAACTTTGATTATGTGCAAATGTATATATAGTTATATGTTATAATTAAATATAGAGAGAGTTTTCTACAAGTATACCAGCAGTAAAATCAAAGCCTCATGGCCCTTTTCCTAAAGTGATGTACAATATGTACCTACAATGCTTTTGCTTTCAGACAGGAGTTCTGACTGTACATATAAAGGATTGCAAAGTGTTTCCAAACATCTGTATCCGTATAATTTCCAGCATCTCAAAATAACATTTTAAAAAAGTTTGCAGTTTAAATAATTTTGCACTGAACTTTTTTTTTGTCATTGTTTTCCTTGACCACTAATCCATTCTACACAAAAGACTTTCAGTTTTTTCTCAGGATATCTGTTGGTGGAAAGGAAAAGTGCACCAAGCTTCAAAGCAACAAAGATGCCAGAGGAGGCAAAGCAGATTTCTCACTTTGCTTTGATGAGTGGAAATACTTCTCCATCCAGGTTTGTCGCTTCCCTGAATTGTTCCGCATCTCCATGGAGTGCACAGTTTCTGATGTGTTTGCTGAATTTATGTGTTCTGATCTGATGTTAGAAGATCTGTATCACACAGTTATGTTAATATTATATACTGTTTTAATATCAAGTTTTATTCGTGAACAACAGTTTAATCCAAAACACTGATCAAATTTATATCCAGCCATTTTTCAGTTCTCAAACATTGTGTTTGTGTGATGTGCTTATGTATTTTCACCCAGCTTTATGCCTGTTTTTGAATCTTTTTTTTTATTTATTCAGATACCTGAGCAGAATTCCAGTGCAGTGAATCCCAATCAAATCATGGTGGAGCTTCTTTTCTTTGAGCCAGCAGCAAGAGATCCTAAACCGATGGGCAGTGCTTTCTTCAATGTGTTGAAAGTACTCAATGTATGGCTTTGTTTTTTTGTACAAATTCTCAAACCTTTTGATGACTGACAAATAATGATGAGATTATCTTTATCCAGGAATCCATTGTCACTCACCAGTTTAATGTGATGCTCAATAAGCAGGTAACCACCAGGCTTACTGTTGTTTGTGCGTGCGTGTGTGTGTGTGTGTTTGTGTGTGTAAAAAACAACACTTAAATTTGGCATGAAATTTAAGTTCACTCTGTCTATGTTCTAAATGCACCATAATGACTTGTTTCTTTTTTAACTTCATAATTTTTAGTCTTTGATAGGAAGTGCTAAACCTTCAGAAAATGTTAATTATCAATCTAAGAATATCAAATTAAGTATTGACTATACAGTATATCCCTTTTCAATTTATTTTTTAGGCTTAGCAATATTAAGTGTAATTCCTAGCAATTAAACATTGAACGGAACAAAATAAAAGTAAATGTATGAGAAGTATAATTCAGAACTATATAATTGGTACATAACTGGTAACAGGTTTGCAGATTTATCCTAAGATAATGTATAACTAACTGCCCACCTTTTGTGCTATGTAAATTTTATGGCTCATAATTGTTTATCTAACATATCTAAGAGTTCTCACTACAAAAGCCCGAATCATCTAATGATTTTAAAAAGTACAGTAAAATCTAGGAAAGTGCCTTGTTGGGTTCACGTGTGAGAGAGAAAATATGATTTTCTGTTTGATTGTAGGTTGTTTGCAAGTTAGATGTTGAGATGGCCATAACATATGGGTCATTTGGTTATGGACACTCTCATCAGGTCAGTAATATTACTTAAAGGGATAGTTCACCCAAGAATTAAAATGTGATGTTTATCTGCTTACCCCCAGGGCATCCAAGATGTAGGTGACTTTGTTTCTTCAGTAGAACACATTTGATGATTTTTAACTCCGTTGCAGTCTATCAGTCGTATAATGCATGGCAATGGTAACAAAACTATGAGAGTAAAAAACACATGCACAGACAAATCCAAATTAAACCCTGCAGCTCGTGACGATACATTGATGTGTAAAGACACGAAACGATCGGTCTGTGCAAGAAACTGAACAGTACTCATTCGTGAGTGGTGACTTTCCACGTATTCCCAACTTCTGAGCCTGCTCGCCTGAAGTTATGGTTGATTGCTCTTCGGCTGGATATCAACACATCCATTAACATAAACTACGCCAGAGCGCGTACACACGCCCAAAGACAGTTGGACATGGTGGTGTATTAGAGGTAAAATATGATATAAATACTGTTCGGTTTCTGGCACAAACCGATCGTTTCGTGTCTTAGGACATCAATGTGTCGTCACGAGCCGCAGGGTTTAATTTGGATTTGTCTGTGCATGTTTTTTTTACTCTCATAGATTTTGTTACCATTGCCATGCATTATACGACTGATAGACTGCAACGGTTAAAGTTAAAAATCATCAAATGTGTTCTACTGAAGAAACAAAGTCACCTACATCTTGGATGCCCTGGGGGTAAGCAGATAAACATCACATTTTCATTCTTGGGTGAACTATCCCTTTAAGAATGCTGTAATGTTCTATGTATAAGCTCTTTATGATCAGTTAGGCATAAGCATTTTAGAATGATAAACTGATCATAATGGTGTTGTGGCTTTTTTTTAGGTGAAGCATCCTGAAAGGACTGTGGAGGAACAAGTGGAAAAATCACTTTTTCCCCGCTGTCCTTCACCCGACTACCTCCAAGATCCTGACTAGTGAGATTCCCTCCTAAAAGAAGCATTGTCAAATGACTGATTTTTCATGTGAGCCACTAAACATGCTTCTTTTTTCTTCTCTTTCAGTAATGAAAAAACCACTCAGTCAGACATTATTTCTCATTTGATTCAAACAGACAGCCAAGGAGGCAGAGATCCCAGCGATCTTATGAACCAAATAGAGAAGAGAGGCAGGTGAGAACTATATTTTAATGTTTAATTCAATGTAAATTTTTCTAATGTCATAGGATACACTGTGTTAATAGTAACCTCGGTAAAGAAATAGTTCACCCAGAAATACTTATTCTGTAATTATTTACTGAACCTCATGTTATTCCAACCTATAGTGACACCTAATAGTTTTTTTAAAACTGTCAACACAATGAAATAATGATGACAAAAGAAGGCATTTTCCAAATCCGTCTGAAAAAAAAAAATCTAACGTTTAAATAATCAAATAATTCTTAAAATATGAATTAATGTTTTATCCTTTTGATAAATACTGCTCTCATGCCGTTTACTCATGGTCAGTGTCAGTGTAATGTGATTACATTGGTGCTGAAAGAGAGTGTTTGTTATGAATTTTTTTTTTTTTTTTTTTTAAATAAATAAAGCTGAAACCTATAGTGACACCTAATAGTTTTTTTAAAACTGTCAACACAATGAAATAATGATGACAAAAGAAGGCATTTTCCAAATCCGTCTGAAAAAAAAAAATCTAACGTTTAAATAATCAAATAATTCTTAAAATATGAATTAATGTTTTATCCTTTTGATAAATACTGCTCTCATGCCGTTTACTCATGGTCAGTGTCAGTGTAATGTGATTACATTGGTGCTGAAAGAGAGTGTTTGTTATGAATTTTTTATTTTTTTTTTGTAAATGAAATAAAGCTGAAATACAATAAAATTTAAACATTTGATGAAAACTCTAAAAACACAACATTATTAAATAGAATTATAATTAAAGCTAAATAGAAATATTAAAAAATAATAAAAAATTGCAAAAGCACATAACAAAATTACTTGAAACTTGAATTACATAATAAACTGGAACCACAGATTATCAAACCTGTATTGTTACCTAAAATTAAAAGAGTAAATATAAAAAAATGTTTTTGATAATTGAAATAAAGCTGAAATAATAAATAAATAAAATATAAATATTTCATGAAAACTTAAAAAATGTAAACAAAAATGATAAATAATGAGTTAATTGATTAAAATGACTAAAACTGAAATAAAAATATTTGAAAAATAATAAAAATGACAGCAGCATATAACAAAATCACTAAAAATTAAAACCTTAAAGTAAAATGAAAACTTAAAAATAAAAGCTAATACTGGTTCAAACTGACTGAACTTTTATTAAACTCTGTTGTTGCATTTAAATACCATAGCTTTAATGTACTAATTTTATCTCATGCATGTAGGGCATTAGTTTGATTTATTTTGCTATAATTAATGTTTATGACTTAATATTAATGTCTAAAATCAGACCAAAATAGCTTTAATTGTGTCTTACTGTTCAGGAATGTAGCTAAGAGGATGTCACATGATGATGTCATAATTTGGAATTTTAGAATGTTCCGCCTATAAAAGGAGCAAAGCTGTCAGATTCTAAATCATTTCTGACTGATGCATCTGACTAAGGCATTCCCTTGCAGATACAACAGTTGCGACAGCGATTTTTACTTAGCATTTGCGATTTGTACTCAGCCATTGTGAGTTCCACACAGCGGTTTGCTTTGGACCAAGAGCTTTCTGACAAAAATCTTCTCTCAGAGACAGTCAAAATGACCACGTGCTATGGTTTAGGTGAGGTTAAAGGTGAAAGAGACCAGTCGGGCCCTTTGTTTGTGGGTAATTTGCACCCACATGTAACCGAACAGGTGCTGCTTTCAATCTTCCTCCCATTTGGACCAGTCTGTTTTGTGAAAGTGTGCAGAGACAGAGCAACCAACCTCTCTCGTGGGTTTGGCTTTGTTACTTTTGCACACCGTCACAATGCAGAAAATGCCCTAGATACTTTGATTTTTTCTGAGCTCTTGGGCAAACCCATGCGAATCTTGTGGGCTCAACACGATTCCACTTTGAGAAAAAGTGGAATTGGAAATATAATTATTAAGGGCTTAGCAAGAGACATCGATGACCTTGCTCTATATGACACTTTCTCATGCTTTGGAGAAGTTCTTTCCAGCCGAGTGGTCTGCGACAGTAATGGTCAACCTAAAGGCTATGGTTTTGTCCATTATGCCACACCAGAGGCTGCTGAATTGGCAATTAAGAAGCTAGATGGTATGCTGCTAAATGACCATCTAGTTTCTATATGCCATTACAAGCCCTACGAGGAACGCCAGGCGAACCAAAATGCCAATTTCAAATGCTGCAAAAAGAAAGACAACAGTCTTTATATATCAAACCTGCCATACAGCTTGGGCAGTGAGGAGCTGTGCTCCCTGTTTTCTGCGTTTGGATATGTGACCAGTGCAAAGGTTATTATGAACAACAGCCAGAGCATGGGTTATGGATTTGTTTCATATTCCTCGGTTAATGATGCCATTATAGCTGTATCATTAATGAATGGCTATATTGTTGGTAACCGGCCACTGAAGGTTGCTTTTTCCCATAGTGCAGAAAAAAAGGAAATAGAACTCTAGCGAAGACCAAAAAATATAGAGAAAAAAAACCTAAGCCTATTAAAAAAAAAAAAAATGAAATAAAATTCTAATCCCATCTCTAGTGCAAAAAAAAGTCCTAAGCCTATCCTATGCCGAGTGCAAATAAATTAAATAAAATAATAAATTAAAATGAAAAAATTTAAGCCTATCCTATCCCTAGTGCGAAAAAAAAAAAAAAAATTCTGAATGATATCAATCCAAATTTCTGACTTGTGATGCAGCCTGGAATTAAGCCACACCATGTTGGCCCATCTGGCCAGAGGAGAACTGGCCTCCCCGACTGAGCCTGGTTTCTCCCAAGGTTTTTTTCTCCATTTCTCTTACTGATGGAGTTTGAGTTCCTTGCCACTGTCGCCTTTTGGCTTGCTTAGTTGGGGACACTTAATATAAGGCAATGTAATTGCACGGTCACTATTGGATAAGGGCTGAAGTGAGCTGATGATGACATCACTGTTTTCTCCAGAGCTGCTATAAATAAATAATAAAATAAAAAAATGTGCAGAGGTTTTTTGTGTTTGTGTGTATGTGTGTGCGTAACAATTTATAATTATTCACTTACAGAATCTTTCTAATTCTTACTTATTAGCATGGGTCTTTTTACCCCATTCATTTCTGAAATATCTTTACACGTTTAATTTGTATTTTAAGATGTGGGGGTAAAAATGTCCCTTATTTTATACAAAAGTGAAATAAACAAGATAATATAAGTGGCATAAATGTTAAGACACAGCATTGTCAATATCATGTGTTTTTGCTGTTTTGCCAACAAACTTCATTATGTATATATGCATCAGAATACTGTGCATAGATAGTCATATGACCATTTTCTTTTTATTACATTTTAGTTTGACAGTCATTTTACACTATTCACAATGTATTAAAAAGAGCTGCGCAATGACTCTTCAGATCCCCCTTTTGTGGTGCCCCCAGGTTGCGCAAGCTTTATAAAACTCTAGAAAAATGTGAGACGAAGCAAGATGTTGTTCAGTTTCTGGAGAAACTGGTTATGAGACAGGAGCCCGAATCCCCCTGGACTACAAACAACTTGGAATCAGAAAAGCAACCAAACACATCAGGAAGTTCAGTCCTGTGGTATGTAACCCTGTAAACACACAAATGAAAGTTTTTTTTCATATGTAATCACTACCCTTTTAACCTATGACTCCACTTTCACAGAAAGAAACTTCACCTTAAAAAGAAACCTGCCACATTCTCCAACAGAAAGAATCAGAAGACAGATGATTATAAAAAGATGTGGTGTTTAGAGCAGGTCTCTTACACAATATTACAGCCCTTTCAGAGGCTTGTGAATGTTTTGCTTATGAATGTCTCAATAAAGACGCTGGATAATAAATATTTTGTTTTGTTTTACTTATAACCTCCTTAATACCGAAGGCGTCTAGTAACGGAACTATTCCTCCTCACGGAACGTTTTAATCCCCGTTTGTTTTTACGGGGAATGTGCGTCAGTCGAAACGGCCCCTTGCTGAGTAGGTAAATTCTTCACCCATGAAACATTTAAAACGTTTTCTAAAATTCGTTACGTAATTAAATGTCTATCTGAACTATTTATTTTACCCTCTGTCATTTTTTATGCATATCGAAAGAAGTGCACCTGTTACGCGTTAAATAATAGAAACGAAATCGTTTCATAATCATGGTTTGTCTAGGTTTGCGCAAGGCTCGTCAGACATTCTGACACGAATGCAAGAATTATATATTATATCGAATTTATCATTAAGAATTGCGGAAACCTTAGAAAATGTACCGTGATTATACTATAGTAACTGTGGTAACGTGAACTGTTTCAGGTGAAGCGTTTTGTAACAGAGAAATCTGTTTTATCTCATTTCAAAATGTTTAAAGTAATATATTTCATCTTTTCATCATTTGTTTTCAGGAAACATACATTGATATAAGAGTAGTAATGAGAAACCACTCATGTATTAACTTGTGGCTGTGCATAAACATGTTGTTTATTTGAAGTAGATTGTGTAAAGTGTGCTGTGGGGAAATGGAAACAGGCCTGTTTGCTCTCCCATGGGTGCCAGTGAATATTGGTGGTTCTGATCTATTGGCCAAAGCCTGGTTCGGTGACACACAATACCGGGTTCTGCTGAGTGACCTGAACACTGTGTGGGAAGAAGAAATGACCACAGATGACATCCAGAGTCGAGCACAGGCAAGAACGTGCAACACTGTTGCTATCTAGTTGAAGTGATTTTAATTAAATACTTAAATTGGAGCTTTATTAGATCTTATAAATTCCTTATATTCTTTAACATGAAACACCGTGAGGAGACAAAACACACTCAAGACAATGTATTTCCGTTCAACTAAAATCACTGAAATGTGCAAAGCAGATAAGAATTAAATGTTTCTCAGTACTATAGTACAGTGAATCTCAACCTTTTGGCGTACCGGACCCCAGTCCAATTCAGAACCATCCTAAAGCACTCCCAGAACAAAATTGACTCGTATCATTTGTGTCTTTGTGAGGACCAAATGCAGTCAAGTATAATTCAAGTTAGCTGACTTGTCCAGTATTTGGCCATATCATCAGCTATATTGGATTTTTCTTTCATGGGAACATGTCATGTCAAAATATACAAAATGTATACAAAAATTCATACTTTATACGGACCCCCTGGCCTTATGTCAAGGACCACTAGGGGTCCACGGACCCCTGGTTGAGAAACACTGCTATAGTATATAGGATTGTATCACCACAATATTCAGTTCTAAGGGAATTCATAGCCTGTCAATAGTTCATACTGATTTCTTCTCTTTTTCCTCTCTTCCTCTGTAAGAAAGGATCTGAATAAGCGTCTGAGGGCTCCTACACAAGCTTTCTTCTCTCATCTATGTTCTGTGGCACGGCCTTGTTTCTCCAGTGAAGATGATGATCAGATTTCTACTGCACACGTTACTCTTGAACAGCATGGTGACAATCTAACAGTCAAACTCAAAAGTGAGCTGGCTGGGTTGCCATTCTACTGGGAGTTTCGCTGCACCACAACACCTGTTGGCGTGGTATGAACCTTATCTGATAAAATAATGTCTGCAGCTGTGATGTAACATGGTTTCAAATGTGTTTGAAACATTTAACCTATTCGTTTAACCCTGTGAAGCCTGACATATGAAATAATAGAAAACTGTAATTGTTTTGAAATGAAGCAGTTTTTTGAAACAAATGGATAGATGGATATAAAGTTTGCTGATGTGTTTTCATTGAGTATCATATTTGATACATAAGGCTTTTATGGCTCATATAGTATGATACAGGAGAAAAAATTGCAAAAATATTCAATTTGGTGCAGTTGCTGATATTTATATTGCCAAAAGATGAAATTCTGGTACCTTGTAATGTAAATCAGTGAGATCTTTTATAAAAGTACAATAGAATACATACATAAAATGCATATAAATATCAGTTGTCACTCTATATCTACCAAAAATATGTTTTAGTAAGATTATATTTAAATGCTTAGTTTTATCAGAGCTCTGTAGGTTTTATTGCGAGGTCAAAACATATAGTGCAATGCAGTACAATGATGGGAGGATATAATAAGCGTTCCTCAAAAGCCTGATGGATCATTTTTGATACTCAAATTTAACAAGATTTTCAAAAATAAATACAAATAAAAAATTAGTCACCCAAGTAGCTTCAGTCCAGCAAGTGTTCATCTTAAAATATTGCTAACAATATAAAAGTTATTCTTCATTTACTTTATGAAAATCATTAAATATTTTTCATCAAAAAGACACATCTTGAAGGTGGACATTTTTAGAATTATAATAAAATGCTTTTTACTTGTTGAAAAAAAAAAAAGTACAAACTAACAACCAAAAGGCAGAAGGCATAAAGTAGATTTGTAGACTCGAGGCCTTAAAAATCTATGTATCAGATATACAGTACGTTTCTGCTTGTGAATCAGGTGTGCAGGCACCTGGTGCGCCCCCTGCTGGCAGTGAGTAGAGTCCTGCAGTGGCAAGTGGAGGATCTAGCTGCTCTTCTGGCTCGGAAGGACGCAGAGATACTGGACTATCAGGAGAACGGAGCTGTCCTAAGTAGAGGTAACAGTCGCATCTAGCATTCTCTCTTATGTCTGTTTTTAGCTTGCTGACACCCATCTAAAACTCTGCCCTCACAGCCAGACTACAGACGGAGCCGTTTGAGGTGCACAGGTACAGGGAGAACTTCTTCACACAGGTGCGAAACATTTTTACATTCAGTGTCCTGCTAAATTTACCCAGTGTAAACAAGCTCCGTCAGAACTAGCATGCATGTGACACCGTGATTCAGTCACATGTATGTACTGAAGCCAGGCCCCTGTGCTGCTTCTAGGGTTTGTTACGGGAGAGAGAACTGTGAAAGCTAGACATGAAGAGAGACTGGATCGCTGTTTGACTCAGAGCTGAGGGTCACCACACACATGCATACACACACAGTGTATAATTAGGCTGTGGTTTTTGCAGTGACGGCTCAGTTGTAGCGTTGCCTCACAGTGAACTGTCTATTGACTGGATCATGTTTTATTTCTTTTCCCGCCATAGGTGTGTGTGTGTGTGTGTTTTAGAATTTCCTGCTTTTTTAGCGATGAGTGGGATTAGGACTGGGCAATATGATGGTAAAACTAAAGCGTTTATACAGTGGATGTACAGTGGGGTCCACTTTTGAAGAATTTTATATTTTTCTAATTAAATTACTTTTTTTTTTTTTTTTAATTACAAAATATAATATCAGTTTAACAATTTGAGTGAATACCTGAAATAAATGTCAACTTAAATAAAATGAAATATTGAAAAATAAAAATTAAACTAGTTGCAGCTTAAGCAGCACTTCCTATTTCCATTTTATTTTTTTATGATTGTGGCAATAGACTACTATACTAAATAAGTACTAAAATAGCACAGCTGCAAAGATGTTCACATGGTCACTAATGTACAACCCCAGTTCCAGAAAAGTTGGGACGTTT